AAAACTTATATATTGCAAATATATAGCATATCTATACATATTTTATATAGTATGGTATGTATTTCCTGTTCTGGTGGTGAGACCCTGTCCCAGGGTGCCCAGGGAGGCTGTGGCTGTGTGGCTGCCCCAACCCTGGCAGTGTTCACAGCCAGGTTGGCTGAGCCTTGAGCAACCTGCTCTGGTGGGAGGTGTCCCTGCCCAGGGCAGGGCTTGGGGCTGGGTCAGCTCTGAGCTCCATTCCAACCCCTAAAATCCTATGGTTTTATGTGGAAGAATTGCTAGAAGAACAAGGACACATTGACATGAAAGAGTTATGCTAAGGCCTGATGCCATCTTACTAGGCCTGGCAAGCAAGGACACTGTGCCCTTGGAGCAGCAAGTCACAACAACAGGATATGGAGGATTAGGAGAAGAGGAAGCAAAATCAGCATAAGAAGGAACCAGGTGCTGATGTAATCCTTGAAGCTCGACCTAGCAGAGTGTAACAAATTGTAAGTACTAACCAATAGAATAGACATTCGTGAATACTAACAAGCAATGCATATAAAAGTTTAGCGAATCTAACAATAAACGAAGTTCTTTTATCAATCATATTGATTGTGTGAGTCTTCCCTCCGGGCCACGAGAAGCGAGCAGCGACAGTTTTATATTCTGTCTAAGCCAACTTTCTGCTGCTGCACCACTAAATTTCCTTTAAATGCCAGGGTAAAAACATTGTAGAGCCCAAAGAGGCAAAATCTGCAACAACTTCCCCATGTGGAAATCTCCCGAGTCAAAGTGAATTAAAGCTCCACAAAGAAGATGGTGCTCTCTTTTGCACACATTGTGTTTAATGGTACCTGTTCTCAACTGATTTTGAGACACACAGGATAGAGAATTGGACTGGATGGCAGGATAGAGCATAAGCAAGCACAGAAACAGTACCTGTGTCTCCTCTGTCCAGCAACACCAGCGACCCAGATGATCCTTCCAATAAACCACTCAAGCACTCTAAAGTCTCTGCTGCAGCCAAATTAATCTCATCCAGTAAGATCCACTCTCCTTTTTTAACTGCTTGTGCCAGAGTACCCTGAAAGTAAGATCAAATTGTTAATCATCATTGATAAGCAATACATGAGCTGAAGGATGCAGATAGAAATGGTTTGCAATCCATGGCCTGACTAACTGTGGTGCACAAGCCTCTCTGACATCCCATGGGAACAGACAGTTCATCTTAAGAGATCCCCAGACAAAAGCAATATTAACTTCCTAAGGAAACTCTAGTCCTATTTACCATCTTTATTGGTGATGTGGATGTGGGGATTGAGTGCACCCACAGGAAACTTGCAGAGACACTAAGTTGGGTGTAAGTGTGGATCTGGCTGAGGGTAGGGAAGTTCTACAGAGAGACCTGGAGTGACTGGATCAGTGGCTGAGGACACTGCATGAGGGTCAGTGAGGCTCAGAGCTGGTGCTGCCCTTGGCACACAACAACCTCAACACCACCAACAACCCTGGAGTGTTTAAGAGTTGTCTGGATATGGCACTGGAGGATCTGGTTTAGGGGTTCCAGCAGGGACAGGTTAATGGTTGGACTCAATGACATTAAAAGGTCTCCTCCAACCTTGATGATTCTATGATTCTGTATCTTATTAATTAACATGATATTTAAATCAAAGATTCTCCTACCACCCATCTAACCACCACCTCCTTGAAGAGGCACACTTCATTTCAGAGTCATCATACACTGTACTTCACAGCAAGGCTCTTGCCAGGAAGTGGATAGAATAGTGTAATTTTAGGGGTTGGAATGGAGCTTAGAGCTCCCCCAGCCCCAACCCCTGCCCTGGGCAGGGACACCTCCCACCAGAGCAGGTTGCTCAAGGCTCATCCAACCTGGCTGTGAACACTGCCAGGGTTGGGGCAGCCACAGCCTCCCTGGGCACCCTGGGACAGGGTCTCACCACCAGAACAGGCAAAACTTCTGCCTAACATCCAACCTCAATTTCCCTCCTTCAATTTGTGCCCATTGCCCCTTGTGCTGTCCCTGCAGCTCCTAACACAGAGCTATTTATATAATAGTGATTGCCAAGTCTTTTCAAATAGTTCTCCTTATTCCTCCTAGCATCAAAATCTCTAAGTACCTCCACAAATGCAAAGAGAAGAGCACTTTCTGTCATCTTCATCTGCTGATGGGCATGATTCAGTTTCAGACCAAATGCCTCCCATTTTTCCTTCAGTGGTGATCCTGGAAGCAAAACAAATCTAGGTTGGTACCAGCAGAATACAGGACAGAGTTGTTTAACAGCAGTATTTTAATCAAGCTGCTTCAAGCACAGAGATACAAAACTAAGCTTAGCTGAGCAAAGAAAATATTCGAGTTCTACAGGTGACATCTCATGAAAGAAAAAAAAAAAGAAATCAAGTTTTGTTGTTTTAGTTTTGTGTGTGATTTTTGTTTTCTGCACTTAACTGGACACTACTGACATATGGGACCAGGTGATTTGCTGTTCATTCCTAGCTTAGGAACAAATACTTACATGCTGCAGTTCATTCCAGCACCACTTAGCTCTCTAAATTCCAGAGACAGAAAGAGACATGCCCAAAATCATCCAAATTTCCAAACCTTATGAATGAGTGGATTAAGAAGGAACACTTCAGTATCAATAAAAACACTGTTGCCTATCAATCAGGACATTATTTACTATCCCACTGACTTCAAGAATTTGTTCAAAGTCACAGCCTGAGCTACACAGAACACCAAAATTACTTAAGTAACTTTGCAAGTCACAGATTTCAGCCTGTCTTGATTTTAGAGCTGTTAATTCTTGCAATAAGTAGTATTTAACACTGACATTTGTGGCATCTATTTTAATCTCTGCATATTCAGAAGAAGCAGCTGAAAGAAGAGTGGAGACAAAATAATTAATCTTACTTGGCCTGCACTGAATGAAAGCCACAACTTCAATTTTCAGCTGTCTAGAAGCACAAACTACTCCATGCAAGGCAAAGTATCAACACTGACTCTGCTCCAAAGGTGTTGTGAAGCACAAAACAGGAAAAATTTATTTGCAGAGTTATTACTTTGAGGTTTTTTGCTGTTGTTTTGCTTTGTTTTTTCAAACAGGACATATTTGTGAGGTCTTAGGAGCTTCCATGACTGAAAGCTTGAATGGATTCACATGGAAAACTGACACAAACAACCAGGACCGTTCACCAACACAGCAAAGAAGTGCTGAGTAGAGAGACCAGATGTCAAGGGCACTATAGGTCAGACAAGTCAACCTTGACACTGTCAGACAGAGCTAACAGCAGTGAGGAGATAGAAAAAGCAAAACACCAAACCAAAACACAAACCCAACCACAATCTAACAGCATTTTCAATGTCTTGTTTCAGACAGACATTGCATGTCTCAAAACCACAAGAGAAGATGAAATAAAGGAGAATAAAAAAACCCCTAAACAAACCCAAATTCAAAGAATAAAACAAGCCACCACTATTTATCTCTTCCCTGCAATGGTTCAGTGTAATGTGTGTTTGATCAGTGTGAACTCTCACCAGATGCATTTTCTTTTGCTTCCTTACTGAGAGCAGATTTATGAATGTGCTGCATTAGCTTTAGCAGATCCTGCCAACGTTTCTGCCTGTAGCAGGTCTGAATGTGTCCCAGGAACGTTTGGTTTTTCTTCCTAGAGAATGTCTGGGAGAAGAGTTCCTCAAAAGACTCTCGCAGAGGGAGCCAGATCAGCTTGTTATCCACAGGCTTGTAACTGAAGAGAAGCAAAAGAGGAATCACTTATTTGACACAGGAGAAAAACCTACAACCAAATAACACTCAAACAACAACGCTGTGCATGAATGAACTCTGGTTTGTGAAGACCTTTATTCAACTAATGAACAAAGGGAAAACTGCACATTCTTTAAATGCACCTCAGGAGGAGATTTTATAAAGACAGGAACACCCCGATAAGCAAAATGTTTTTAATGCTACCAACCAATATGTCCAGTGAACACTACATTAGATTTATATTGAACAGCTCAGGCATTTTTAAAGACACATTGGCTTGTGCTTTTAAATCACAGAACCATCAAGGCTCGAGGAAACCTCTAAGGTCATCCAGTCCAACCATTAACTTGTCACTGCTAAACTCTAAACCATAGCCTCCAGTGTCAAATCCAGACACCTGTGAAACACCTCATGCAGTGTCCTCAGTCACTCCAGGACTCTCTGTAGAGCTTTCCTACTTCATCACACACAGCTCTGCACAGAATTCAGTGCTACTGCTCTGCTCTTCAGCAAGGACAACAAGGTTTCTGCATGCCAACGTGTTTCCTAAGACATTTATGCTACCATGAAACAGAGAGATGCCTAAACCCCATCTGTTCTGCAGAACAGACCAAACAGTGCTCAGGGACTCACCCCCCTAAGAGATCTGCTGTGTCACTCTGTTGGTTCATGTTGACAACCCTCAAACGATGTCCTTGAAACAGAAACAGAAAGCACCATCAACGTGTGGGCTTGTTCACTTGTTGTTTTTTACATCACCTTCACCTTAAGTTCACAACCTCCACACCTCATTTACCTGTAATGTGAGCGAGGTACTGAACAGTTGAGGTTTTGCCAGTCCCTGTTTCACCCACCAAGAGCACTGGCTCTCCTTTGACAACACAGACTGCCAGCTGCTCAATCAGGACAGCAGATGGACGTGTGGCAGCAAAGGTGTGTTTGGCTCTGCAAAACACAAAGGAAGCAACTCAAAACCTAATATTTATCAAGGAGGTTTTTCAGTTTTGCCTTCATTATTTTTTTAATGCAGTACTTGAATTTAGGATTTGATGTTTTTTAAAAGACAGGTCTGGTAAAAGAGAGTTTCAAGATGCACCTCTAAGATAAATATTTCTCTCAAGACGCAACCTAAAATCAGAGAATTTTAAGAGCTGCAATGGAGCTTAGAGATGATCCAGCCCCAATCCCTGCCCTGGGCAGAAACACCTCCCACCTCTCACATTCCTCTCATTAGAGTGAGAACATCCAACTGACATCTCTCTTAACCCTGTGCCTTCCAAGTCTACTTTATTCCACCACATATTTCCGTGCACATGGAAACTATAAGACGTTGTACCTCTGCACAGTGAGAGCCTGAGTCTGTTTCCTCGTGAGATGAGCTCTTCCAACAGAGACTTCCAGTTCCCTTATCACGATTTCTGGTTTATAGAGCTCACAAAAGAATTCCACCTGTGAAGAAAGCAGCAACATTTCCAACACTACACCACACTATGCTATGCCATAAATATTACTTCCCAGCGAGTTAGTTTTTCATGAAAAGATCCTGTATTCTGCAGGTTTTACATACTCATCACCTAAAATATTGAAGGACTCACAAGTGTTGTGATCTTTGTTTAATAACTTGGTGACACATCTAGGCCATTGTATTTCCACTTGAGCAAGTTCCCTGTTCAACCACATGAACTTATCAACAGTTGTTTTCACAGCAAACAAAATCTCCCTCCAAACAAACCCTTCATGGATACTTTAGTGTAAACAAGGATATTTTGTCATTTGCAGGGAATAACACATTCCTGAACTGAAATAACGCAAAGAAGGACAAACAGAAAAATCCATGGAAGTTCTAGAGATCCATCTGTTCACCCAGCAGGCAAGTTTTTCAATCTTGTAAGTAACACAGGAGGGAATTTGCAAACTTCTACAGTCAGAAATAGCTGACAAAAAAATTATTTCACAAAATCATGGAATCATCATGGTTGGAGGAGACCTCTGAGATCATCAAGTCCAACCATGAACCTGTCACTGCTGGAACCCCCAAACCCTAACCCAGATCCTCCAGTGCCACATCAGACACCTCTGAAACACCTCCAGGGATGGTGACTGCACCACCTCCCTGGGCAATATCCCAGGGCCTCAACACCACAGCAGGGAAAACATTTCTCCTCACATCCAATCTGACTCTGCCCTGGCTCAGCTCAAGGCCATTCCCTCTCTCCTCTCCCTCAGCCCTGGCAGGACACACATCCCACACCTCTCTCCAGCCCTGGCAGGAGTTGCAGAGAGCCAGGCGTTCACCCCTGAGCCTCATCTCCAGGCTAGTCAAACCCAACTCTCTCAGTCCTTCCACATATGACATATTTTCCAGACCTTTTATGAACTTTACTCTGCTATTTATAGACACTTACCAGGTTCTAGAAAGGTACTTTATCACAGAATCATTGAAATTTAGGGGTGGGAATGGACCTCAGAGCTGACCCAGCCCCAACCCCTGCCCTGGGCAGGGACACCTCCCA